AAGCATAATGTGGACCATGCAATATAATGCATCCCTTGACTCCCAGAAAAAAAAAAATGAGGCTTTGGATTGGGAATATTGCTTCTATCAACTTTTTTCCCTCCTCTCCCTAATTCAAGCCATGGAGCCTTCACTAAGGCCTGAGATTTATTTGGAGGCTTCCCCTGATGTTTTCCAAATGGTTGGAGTTGTTGGGGGATAGTCCTTTTGGACAAGTAAAGGAAAATGTAAGAACAAGTGATATGGAAAGAGGGATTTTAGAGTTTTATGCACATGGAGCCAAATTAAGCCAATGGGCTGCTTGAGATAGATGAGAAGGAGCTTCTAGAACTTATTTGAAATGTTTACAGCAACCAATTTGGGGTTGGCTTGGCTTTGGGTCCATGAATTTAGGTTTTGGAGAGTTTGGATTAGCTCAATTGGTTAACCCAGGTCAACCCATGAGTTGAGCTTTTTGAGTTTGATGTAATAGGACAAGGAATGACTGCTAAAGCCATTGGTGCAATTTAATTTCACAAGGATGAGAATTTGGCTCAAGAAAACTACTTTGGGTCCACTTGTTTCAACTAATTTGGCTAAACAAGGTGAGCCCATGGGCTAAAATTTTTTTAGGAGGCTCATGGTGACCCCATAGACTGTCCCCATGAGTTTGGTTCATTTATTGGTCAAAATCTTTGGATTTGAATTTTTGAAGCATTTAGATGTGTTTTGGTCAGCTCATGAGTTGACCTGGTCAACCAAGTTTGACAAGAGGTCAAGGTGGGGTAGAGTTTTGGTGAAGAGGTTGAGGGAGTGGAGTTCGTGCACTGGGCGACTGGGAGTCGGGGAATAGGTGAGAAGGTGGCTACGGGAGAACGAGGCATGAAGTGAGTAAGGGAAGATGAGTCGAGTTTGTCAACGGTGGAGTGTGAAGCAAGTGTTTGTCGATGGTGGAGTGTGAAGCAAGAATCACAATGAGTTTGTGCACTTACGCTGCAGGAGGGAGTTGGTTCGCAATGAGAGAAAATATAGGAGGAATGGAAATTACGTTAGATATTTGCGTGTCTAAGAGAGAAAATGTGGAGGAGAAAGAGAGAGATCTACCCGTTTTTTTGTAATTTTTATAGAGGAAAGCCTATCACTACAACGGGATGGGATAATGGCATCAAACTGCATGGGAAATTTTAGGGATGGGAAGGATATGATAAGATTTTTATTTTAATTATTTTTTGAAATGTTTATTGATTTTTTAATAAAATTAATTAAAATTACATAAAAAGGTACAAAATAGATGGAATTGACTTCTTGTTCAATTTATTGAACCTCATATATAGGCAAATTTTGTGTTTCACATTCATGCAGTAACCCAAGCAATATGGGTTCCTAATTGAATAATTTTGATATTCCTAACATGTCGACACAATCTATTTCGTGAGCAAGCAATGTTAGGCAACTTCTACATGACGTCACGCCTGTGGTCCATTTTCGCCGCGTTCATTTGAATCGATTGTGGGACTCTAGTGAATTCGATACTCTAGACACGTCTGATCAGTCCATTTTGTGAGCGGACAACATTTTAGTGGCTTCAATTGTGATGTTGATGATTCAAACTTGTTTCATGCAACGTGACCTCTATTTGTCGACGTTCTGATCCCTCTTGCTCGAATAGATCATAAAGCACATATGTAGATCAACAATAAAGACCTTAGGGGTGTTTAGTTCAATGTTATCTAGATACCATTGTTGCCAAGATCCAAGAGGATGCCAACTTTCAATTTTGGGTTGAATAGAATTTTAATTACATTTCTCAAAAACTCTCTCCTCCAATACAAACCAGCCACTCTTTCTAAATTTGACTCCAAGTTCAGCAAAAACCAACAAGTCAGTTACCCACTCTCAACTTTCTACACATAATGGAGCGGTTATGGAGTAAGAGAAGTCAATTAACCAATCCCTCATACACTTTGTAACCGCCAACTTCAACAAACAAAAAGGGATTGAATCCTTATATTATTCTCTTATACGTACTGTGATGGCTATTGATATAACTGGCTAGATGTGAAACGGTTCAACCGAATCAGTCCACTTAAAACAATCGGAGTGCATAGCTGCAAATAAGGGAGGCAGTGAGCGGCGAACCGAGCACAAGCAGCCGACTTCTCCCTCATAAGAACGAGATTGCTTGCATGTTTAAGTTCCGACTCGATTGTGTTTGTGTGTGTTCAGTGAAGATGAAGACAGAGGGAATTTGCATGTAGTTGTGGTTTTGATTTGCAGAGAGGAAATTTGGGCTAGTTGTAGGGGATGCTCCTATTTAACACAGAGGGAGAGTGTTAAGAGAAGAGAGTTACATTTTTTTGTGTATTCACTGGAATCAGAGAAAGAGAAGGAAGGTACAAACATACTCAGTGAGTTTGATTGAAGATAGATAAGAAGAGTTGTTGAGTTTCATATTCAATGAAAGAGAAACAGAAGTTAGTAAGAAATCAAAGGACGAAGAAATTTATCAAATCGTTCCAATATTGTTTGACATAAGCAAAGGAGAAAAAGTGAACTTTTGTTCAATGTAGAGATGAAGATATTTTTTATTTCCAATTGTGAATGAATCAATTAGTTCTCTTATATTCGATAGGGAAAATGAAAGCATAAACAGTGATTTGTGTGATCTCAATTCGACATGAAGGAAGGAAATTAGAAGTAAGCAAAATAAACTATTTAAACATCTTAATAATTTGTAAACGAGACTTAATAATTTGGATATCTTTGATGTTGTTTTTGACAAAAGTCAATGTGCCTGGTGCTATTTTTGACGATCCGCGATGCATCTGATGTTACCCTTGATGACATTTGAGGCGTTCAGCACTGCCTTGACAACATTCGACTTCTCCAAGGTGAATTTTAATGTTAACTAATATTGTTGATGTTATTTTGGACAGTGAAAGAACTTAGTATAGCCGAAGAAGTACAAGCAAGTGTTTTCAGAAAAAGATTAAGCAGGAGTTAAATTATTAATTAAAATTTAATTTAAATTTAATGTTAATGTAGTTCTAAACAGAAGCTACATAGACTAACATTACATTCTTGATAGTTAGGTGGTGTTATAATGAAGATTAAATAATAATTTACAAAACTTATAAGTGACAGTTTTGACCTTAAAAAAAGGATGATTATGCTTTACTGGCTACTAAACAACAGTTATTAGTCAAGATTAAAGCTACCTTTATTCTCTAATTGTAATATTTATGAGTCTAAGCCATGAAGCCCTTTATTGATTGAGAGTTGTTATAAAATTAGCCTTCGTGCTATTTTCTTCCAACATAGATCTATAAGGTCACCATAGATGAGATAACTCATAATTGCCACGAGGCTCCTCAAGTCAAGTACTCGAAGAATAACCATTTCTTTAGAATATTTATATCAAAATATATCAACAGTCCCTGAACTAATAAACCACGGAATCTTTATAGGGTTTTCTATCATTCCCTATCTCCTTTGAGCATAAAGTTGAAAAATCCTATGGGTAGTTTTTATTAACTAATTAATCTGCCTCTTGAAAATAATTTTCAATTCAAATAAACCAAAAACTTCTTATAAAGCCTACAACATGATACCTACATAACAGGATTTTGTGAATAATCACTAATTTTTTAGAAGTGCTTTACTTTCCCATATAGGCCTTATAGGCATCCAAATAACCATTATCAAAGAGGTGGGTCACACCGGAGATAAGTGGGCCAAACTCATTCATTATGGGCTAATAAGGGCCAACTTAATTCTCAGTCAGTGTTGGAACTTATTGGATCTCACATCCAAAAGTGAGTTCAAGTGTTTGTTTGGTGGGAACTACATGGAAATGAGTTCTAATTCCAGAAACTCACCTTCAAAAAGTGACTGAGTTTCAATCTTCAAAGCTAGACAATTTACCTTTAATAAAAATAAAATATTATCAAATCATTAACATGATGGATTCGATATTAATTTTACATGAATAGTAATAAAGTAACGAAAAATTAACATAAGGGTGGGTAAAATTGAAAGCAATTGCATCTCAGACAAACACATGGTTGATTTATAATAAGTGAATTCCTACAAACAAATATATATCTTTGCAATTAACTTCCATGTGAGCCACTTCTGAAACTGAGGCCTAAATAAACGTATAGTGAAACAAACTATGTTAATCTGTGTGGAATCTGATTGTGTCCATCAATCGGGTTGTATTGTTGCCACAGACTTCAACTTAGTTTATTGTGCTCGATGGGTGGGGGTGCGCAGGTCCTCCTATTTGGGTTCGGGTGTACCTTGTGTTGCATACTCGAGCGCCCCAGCACTGTGTACCCGAGCGTCCAAGCACTGCATAGTTTTCTTGGAGAAAAGATAGAGAGCAGAGCGCTGCAGCGCTCGAGATCTGGCGTCGCCGCTCTATCAGGTGCACAAGAGACAGAGCATTGAGCTTCGCAGAGCTCCAAACTGGCACGACAACACTGCGAGGCCGGGTAGTTTTTCTTTCTTGTCTTTTAAGGGTGGCATCCCGTGGTGGTATGTATTGTATCTCTTTGTTTGTTATTATGTTTGTATAAGAATGGTGCAAATGAGAAGAGAAGCAACTAGAGAGTGAGAGAGAAAATAGAACTGTATAAATTTCTCCCAATTTTAGAGTGGATTTTTTGGTGTAGCGTGGCTCTGTGGTTTTTTCCCTAGTTTCGGATTTTCTCATGTTAAAATATGTTGTTCTTCACTTTCTGCTGCATTTCTATTTCCTTGTTTGTTTCCATGTGTGGTTAACTTCCACCCTCAACAAACTAGTCCTCATTGTTTGCCATCTCGTGTCAGAAGTTGAAGCACTACTATAAAAACCTAGTTTTATTGTCATCACAGCATTTGCTAGTATCATTATAAAAAGCTGAAAATGACCACCCAAAAAAAAAAAAAAGAGCAAACAAAGATGTGTTGAAAAAAACATTGTGCTCAATGATCAAGAAAACATTAAGGAGCTACTCCGTGCAGTTAAAGATGCTGACCCCTGTTCGAATGAGTTCGATTCCGCAGAGCAGCGTCGATATGTAGGAATCCTCCTCTGTCATGTTGGATTCGTACGGCCAGATTCGTTCGTGCAACCACGTCATCAGATCCACATCATCCGCAATCCCTCTCGCGAGCTGCTGGGAGGTGTGGACGTGAGTATTGATAAATCCTAGCCCACGAAATGAATCAAATGTGAGCACCACCCGAAGCAAAAGCATCGCCGACAAGCAGGAAGCGGAAGAGGAGAAATGCATACCTGGGAGCAAGAAACGCCCCGCGAGGTCGATTATCTCATCAGCACGATGGGAAAAGTCTCGAAGAATATCCAGGGAGCGTCCGACTGCTTCGATTCTGTCGCCGGCGATGACGAGGGCGCCATTCCGGAAGACTCTGGACTCAGAGTCCATGGTCACGATGAAGGCGTTGTGGAGGAGCAGAACGCTGGAGATGTTCCCCGCCTCCATCGACTAGCAGTAGAGTTCCGTTGCTAGTTCCGCCGACTCTCCCGCGTATCCTTCCTAAGCCGGTCGGTTGTAAGAAGATTGTATTCAATTAAAAATTAAAATAGATGGGTGGTTGGCTGCAAGTATATTTTATTTTAGTAAAATATAGAGCCGGTCAAGATGGTGCGGCCAATTTCAAATAAGAATTTATTTAGGGAGATTTACATGTATATCATTTTATTTCATGTTATTATAAATCTAATATCTAAAATATTAACATTATATATCTACCACCTATAGAATAAATTTAAATGCATGGAATGAAATATTAAAGTTTATAGGATGATATGAATGAATTATAGGAATGATATATTTGATATTAAAGATTTATATGAGTGGTAGGTATGTAATATTAATATTTTGAATGTTAGATATGTAAATGTCATGAAATAAAGTGTTATGTGTATAAATTTCCCTTTATTTTATAACAAAATTAAGAGAAAGAATTTTAATTTTAAAAAAATTTAGGAAAGTATAAAAAAAATTAATTATTATGAATTTTCTAAAAAAGACACCTAATAGTTAGACATTTTTTCATAGTTTAATAAAATTAGTCATTTTACATAATTGTATCTTGAGATCCGTAACAAATAGAGGGAAATGACTTAAAAAAATTATTATGCTACAGTATGAGAGGGTGGGGGTAAGTCATGTTGCATCATACCATACATTTTTCAGAATATTCTACATAATCATGATTTTGATGTGTTAGGCTTTGTTGATGAATAGTTGGATTGCTTCATATGCACTAGAAGCATTGTAGAGCTTTTTGTTGGGGGAAAAGGGAAAATGCAAGCGCATTGCAGTAGGCGGTCAATGAGATTGCAAAGTTGAGTAGTAGGGTGGAGCTGTCAGTCTTCATTAAATATTGCACATTTGATGCTCTTTAAGATATTGAGGGTTATACACAACGGAGATGTAGATATTCCAAGTGTCCTCAGGCACCAATGAGGTTGATTTCAGATGTTCCCATGAAAACAACTGCTGACCCAATGTGTATAGATCGTTTCAAACCTCTAAGGAAGTCAATGTACGTGAGCTCATTTGACTATACTAGCCCATTTACATTTGCTATAATAAGGCCCTCAATGGCATGGCATGCTAGTTCTTCTGGTACATGGCCATCTTCACAACAATGGAACCCCTTTGGTTTGGTATAGGGAACAACCGGTGCTTATCTACCTAAGAGCCTGGCAAGCTAGATGCCAGAAGAGGCAACATATAGCATGAGCATATCGAACTTAATGACTTTATTGGATCTGTCATCATCATTGACCTAGTGGGATTTATGCTCAAACATGTTGGCACAAATGCCCTAACCCCACAAAATGACGAGGAAGGGCTGGTTGATAGCACCATCATGACACAAAATGTAGAGAAAGTGTCGGCTATGTATGTTGACAATCACTCTAATTATATTTGTATAGAGACATTACTACTCATGTCACCTATAGTGCCAGGAGTATAATAGATAAAACTATTATGCAGATCGATGCATTTGATATTATGAGAAAGGTTGAGTAATCTCTTTTTATATAACTTTTTCAAAGCTTTTGGGTTGCAATTCTACGAAGCTCTAATTCATCAACTACTATAGAGGACGGTTGATCATGTAGAGAATGAGGGATGCTCCCATAATATTATAATATTAGACTTACGAAGTCATTTTAGAACTATGGAGAAAATATGTTGAGTATCTTAGAAAAATAACACTAAGATTGTTGAGTTGAGTTGGAAGAGCAATGAAATTTCTTGAGTATATATTTTTGCCACCATTAATAAATAAAAAATATTTGTTAGTGAGCTCAACGATAACATGTTTGTAAGCATGATGATGACAAGTTTGTGAGAGCAACGAGGTCGCAAGGCACAATGAATTTGGAATTCACCCAATTGATCAAAGTGAATTCTAAAAAAATGAATTTTTTGAGGTATTCAAAACTTCTTAGAGAAATACTTTGTATTTATTTTAGTCGCAACAAACACTTAAATATTCAAAGCACATACATTTTAAATATAGTACATTCAAAATATTTGCAATCAAACAATCCCCCGAGTCTTTCTCAATTGATAGCTATCCAAGTATTTAAGTTAACTCTTGTTAAGTTCCAAGTTGAGGACAAGATCATTTAAGGGTTACCCTTGAGGGTTACCCTTGACAAATTCTTTAGTGTGTATCATAGCAAATTATCTTGTTGAGATTAATAGTGAGTTTGAGAGCTTGTTCACCAAGTGAGTTTATTTTGAGTGGACGATTAGCTTTAAGGTTTTGTTTTGGACAACTTATGTTATGCTTCTTAAAACAGCTTTCTAGTACAAAAATTTTATTTTATTTTACTAGAAAGCTGCTTTAAGAAGCAGTAAGCAAGTTGTCCCAAATGAAACCTAAGTGACTTTTAACAACTGTCATTGGCTTGTATATCCTCTCTTTTGACAACATCAACTTTGAGGATATTTGGATTTAGTCAACTTTGATAGAATGCATCTCTAGACAACTTAATGCTTATAGCAATTTTTTGTACTAAAAAATTATTTTAGAAGGTAGAAAAAAAGAACGAAGCCTGAATTCAAGGGGATTTTTTTCAGATTACTTTTTTATTGCTTTTTAAATTTAGTAACTTTTTAGTACAAAAAATATGTTTGAATTAAATTTTTTGTACTGAAAAGCTAATTTAGAAAAGAGTAAGAAAACTGTCTCGAATGAAACCTAAAATACAACAATTATGTGCTATTAGTCTTCATTTAAATTTTTATGACAATAAGATATGATTTGCTTATTGAAAAATTTTCATCTTTTTTAATATTTAAATTTATATATAAAGTTCTGCCAATATTAAATTGGTTCAGAATTTTTTATTTTTAGTTGAAATTGATAGTTTATGAACTCAACTATATTTGATACCAAATATTTAAGATTTTTTAAAATTTAATTGATACACTTAAAAAATTCATGATAATAATATAATCATTAAAGTTAATGAATTTATAATTATTTTGATATTTAATTAATTTGAAATTGATTTGTATTTTATTGAATTCATTGAGTTATTGATATATGGTTTCATATATTATGTCAAATATTTTATTAGGATATAATCATATAAAGTCTTATAGCTTCTTTATTGGGGTTCTCTTCTTTATTGTGAATTTTTTTGAGATAGAGACACTAACATCATCATTTGTATGAAGATGCTTACTATCATATTGATGCATGACACAAGCATTTGATCATATTTAATGATATATTGTAACTTTTGAAATGTGATATGGATGAACTCCCCGTCTCCTTCACACTGCTAATAACAAAATCATTTAACAAATGACCGATCGATACGGTTAAACTACGATATATTCATGCATGAGCACTAGATAGCTTTTATATAAAATAAAATAAAATGTCAAATGTAATTAAAATTTAAGATTTAAGGTTTTGAAGTTAGCTTAAAAAAAACAAATTTATTTGATTAAATTTTTAATAAACAAGTAAATATAAATAACCTTATAGAAAGATCTTAATCATGATAACACCAAAATGATAATTCAACATGTTTTTCAAAAAATTTTTGAACTCTACTTAATTTGCAAAAGGATCATTTTCATATTTTATGTGATTAAATTAAAGCTATTAAAACGGCAATTATAGAGTTTTATATGCTTAATTAAAAAAACATAATTAGACTCTAAAGTTTTATTTGGGATAACTTTCTTAATACTTTCTAAAGCGGCGTTTTAGTACAAAATTTTCTTAAAAATAATAAAAAAGCTTTGGTCTAAAGCTATCCAAAACGAAGCTATAGCTTATTTTTTTATTTCTAAAACAGCTTTTTAGTAAAAGATTTATTGAACTTAAAATTTTTTTATTAGAAAACTACTTTAGAAAGTATTGAGGAAGCTATCCCAATGAAGGCTTTGTTTGGGACGGCTTTTTATTGCTTTCTAAAACATACGAAGTTTAAGTACAAAATTCCGTTTTAGAAAGCAATAAAAAAGCGGTCCCAAACGAAGCCAAAGTCTAAATCTACTTCTTGCATCACTACAGATTTCAAAACCACTTAAATCTATTTTATATTAATTTACCTCCAATAATTACTAATCCCACCACTCATTAATATAAACATTCCACACTAGCACGCATACCTCTTAAACTTTTTAACATTATACATTAACTAATCCCACCACTCATTAATAAATAAATCGAATTATTTTTCAAAACCCTCAAAACAACTTTTACGTCATTCGATATTTAAAATAAAATAATCACCACATGTCATCACCGCCAGCCACTAACTACCATCGTTGTCATCAACAGCCAGTCTCCTCTCACCGTCCTCATCTTAGCCTGTTGGTTGAAAACTTAGGCTTCCAACTAAGAGGTCTTGGATTCGAGCCTTTGTGAATGCACTGTGTGTGAATTTGCTTTAATTGATTTAAATATCAAAAAAAAAAAAAAAAAAACGTCCGCTATCATCACCAGCAGTCATTATATACCACAGGTCCACAACTGCCAAATAAAAATAAAAGCACTCGTTGGCATAGGGAGGTCGCAAGTAAGATCTGAGCATCCTTAGTACATAAAAGAATGAAATAAGAAATCAAAGCAAGAAGGGGTTAGGGAGCTCTTGTAATAAATCTTGTAGTAAATGAACGGTGTTCATGTAGTGGATATATTTGCCCAACCATTTGTTCAGCAAGAGAGCTTTTTGAAGATGGTGGCTGCATAATTTATGTATAGGTGGTGCAAAATGAAGTTGAAGGTCGGAGGAAGGAGCTGATCTTGGAATGCAAATTTTGCTATTTTTATTCATTTCAGTATCCTAATGAATTCAGGTTTACGTGATTTTGGACTTTGTGGAATTTTCTTGAAGAGACTATCATTTTGAATACAAAATTAAGATACGAAGACTCGTTCATTGGCTTTGTTTTACTATTTTCCCAACTATTCCAATTACCCTTTTTATCTAGTGGGATTATTCTGTGCAGACATCGGATGGGAAAACCGTCTGGTACTGCGCCCTTGATACCGAGCGGTACTGACGCTCGGTATCGTGCTCGGTACCGAGTGCA